TGGAAGTTGTACCGCAATAAGTTAACAGAAACGACTGTCAACGGAATTAATCGATACACCCAAAGACGGTTTCCCAGTTCTGTCTGTCAGACACCGAAAAAATGTAGCTGAAAAGAATGATATATGAAGATTTGATAATTAAAGAAAGAATAGTTTATTTCAAATAACGATATTGTTATGAAAATAATGTTTATATCATAGAGTAAAAAAAATGTATACATTTTTTTAAGACGGATCTATTTTGATTTGAGAAATTATCGTTTAGTGTTAAGAATTTAATTTCATATAATTACATTGTATTTCATTAAGATTTATCTGTATATAATAAGGGGATTTGGTGAGTTATTGACAGTAACAAAATGGCAAATATCATTAAGGTAGTGTTTTCGTGCTTTGTTATAAATTATATAAATAATAATTTCAAAAAAATTTACCACTAAAACATTTTCCACTGAGATGCTTCAACTTTTAAACTGAAGTTTTTAACACTATGTTAAGATTAAGTTACTTACTTATCTCTTCAAGGATTTATGTAGATAAATTTCTATTAACTAAATAAGGGAGTGTCTTGATCAAAACAATAATTTTAAGCATTATGAAGAAGATTGTTCCTGGACTCCAATTAAATTGTCATACGTGGTTCATACGTAGACAATACAGCAGTTATATTTTCACCACAATATCCTGAAACAGCTTTCAGGTTAGTTTAAAAAGGACTTAATGTTATAGAACATTAAGTAATATCGGAAATTAATTCCCGTTCATGCTTTCTTATGCGCTTTTGTTGATTCTTCAGCCTAGGATCAATTTCTGTATTTAAACTTCCTAAATTTTTTTATTTATATTTCAAGACTAATCTTGTTACTATCTCTTTGCTTTTTACAAAATATTGGGACTTAATGTGGTATATACTAATTATAATGAGATTGTTTTGTATTTAAGTGTAGACTAATCACGGACTTATTCCACAACAAAAACTTTGTTGGAAAATTCGTAATTTCGTTCGTAATTTTTTAATCATCTGTGGAGATATTATAAATAATACGATTTTCCTAATACGATTTTTATCTCTTTTTGTGCCAATTACATCCTATTTCTTTACGTTACTAGTTTTCTAATTTCAATCAATATAATAAAACAATAACATATTTGAAAAATTAAAAAAATAATTTTTAATATACCTATCTTAATCTTTAAGTAGGAGATGACAACACAGGTAGCACTAAGCAGTCATTAAATCTTTGCTACTCTTTTAAGCGCAGTGCAGACTGATCATCACTGATCATCAATGATCATCAGATCATTTTTGAGTGTAATTCAAGAGAGAGAATCTTAGAATGACACTCAAAAATGATAGTCTGTACCCTTGAATGACATACAACCAACATGTTGGCGTGCTAACAAAAATTTTGATGATCATTCAGTTTCTCGCCAACATGTTGTGAATGATAGTCTCTCATCTAAAAATTGTATTCGTCCTTTAAGAGCATATTTTTGCGTGGTTATACTTATATACTTACAGCGTGCGTAAACAACCTTATTTTTCAAAAATTTTGCTTGAATGACAACTCTTGAGCATCTTCAAGTTCGATCGCTAGAAAAAATTTGAGCAACTTGAATGACATACAAAATTGATGGACAGCACCGTGCTATAGTTGTATGAGAGAGTTAAAAATACTTGGTTGTTACATCATATGATAATTGAGTCATACATATATAATATTCCAATTAATAAAAACGAATTTTCATTTATTTACATGTATTAATATTATGAATGCATATGGCAGTACATAAATTGATGTTGATAAATACTTTTTCAAGCCAATAAAGTGTTGAAGTTTGAATCTCAAGTCAATAAATTATAAATGCATATGCTCAAAGCGAAACAAGTATATCTCATATAGCATATACAAGTTATTAACATATATCCAAAAAGAAATATATATACACAGATGCTTAAAACAGCGAATTTTGTTAACTTCTTTTCACCTATTCCTTGCACTATGTCTTCCAGTTTGTCTGATATTTAAATATTTTATTTTTTTTGGTGATTTGCTACAGTGATTATGTTATATATTTAAGGACCAATCCATGGCATATTATAACTACAAAATAAATTTGACGACGAGGAATATTAAATCCGCATAAAATTCTTATTAAAAATATACAACAAATTTGAGGGAGCCGTATATGTTGAGCTACTTCAGATCGTGTTATGTAGGCGATGATCTATCACCACAGCTGTTATTATTTTTAACATAAAATAAAAAATTTAAAGAATTTAAATATTTAAATAACAACAAATATTGTGATCCTTGAACATTTGGTCATCTGTATAATATGACAATATGGATGATTCACAGTTATATAATGTTATAAGCGGTCGTCTCACAACAACAAATCTATGTTTTCCTTACAAGAAAGTGGGATTTAATGAGTTTTAAATTATTATTAAAAAAATATTTTAAAGTTAATAAATGCTAACACATATCACAGTTTTTACAAGCTTTATTTTGCACTACAAGTAATAGAGTGCAATAACACTTAAAATAATAATATACAAATTTCTTTAAACTATTTCATAAATATTTCACAAAAATTAATTCAATCATTTTGTTATTTCTTTAGGTTGTGTATCTTCAGTTTTTGTTTTTTTTATAAGCAACATTTTATCAAATTTATCACGAGCAAAATCCATACGGTGGTACAAAATTACATTATCCGTTTCGATAAACACCTTTCTAAAGTTATAATCTCTTAAATGTTCAAAAAAAATTTCAGATGTTTTGAAAAAGTACAAATTGCTTGATGATTGCATATGCTTCTCCAGTTCCAATGTGTCCAACACAAAAACTTCACCTCCTCTGTCCCAAAACACATACCGACAACTAGGTTTTTTACAGTCCCACCATAGTTTAAATGGAAACTTATTATCCTGGTTCTCTTTCGGCATTTTTGCATTCGCCCAGTATTCCGCAGCCATCCCACTGCTCGCGTTAAAAGGTAAACAATGACTGAGTGCCACTTTTCATATATATCAGCTCAGCTCGCGTTTTAGGCAGTGTCCATATCTGCATATCTTGCTGAACATAGTGTGTAGACTTCTTAAAAAGAAGTGCCTGCCCATTGCGAAAATGTTTTGTTTTGCAGGCACAGCCTAAGCTGAGCAGAAATCAAAAACATAGAAATTTCTATGTTTTCACCTAAATGTTTAGAGCAGCAATAGAAGCCTGTAAGCCAGTGTTGTATTGCTCATATATATATGTATTTCTACGTGTATATATGTTTCCAATTCAAATCTATTTTAATATAGAAATTGATTCGTTGGCCAAAAAACTATAAGAACTTATAAGGGGGTAGCTTAGGCGAGGATCAATTTCCGATATTTGCAAGAAAACTGTGAACTGTGAAAAGGTAAAACTTTCTTGAAGTAAAAGAAAAAGTAGCGAAGTTTGTTTATCTGTCTATATTTCAACAAAGAAATGTCTCGAAAATGTGAGGCATAGGACTACGTTGCGGCATAGACTACGTAGGATCACTACGTTTTTTTTTTCAGAAAAAGTAGATTTCCTACAGTCTTTTTACTGATACGTACGTATAAAATTTTAAATGTTTTTATGAAACCTTCTCACATGTCATTCCTATGAGGTGGCTCTAAGCCCCATGTTATGCCGTTTGATATTTCTATTTTACTGTTAATAAAAAAAAAGCTTGTTAGAAACATAGAATTAATTTACTATAGGATGTCGATTGGATTGCTGGTTTTGTTTTCGTAATTTTAATAGGTGTTCATTATAAAAAGAATTAGTTAATTTTTTGCTTAAGGTATTTTTATAAAGAATTATTGCAAAACATCAGAAATTGACCAAAAATAATGAATGTTAGAAATATTCAATTTTTTTTTATGAAAAAAGTATAACGAATTATTGTAAATGTGTTTTCTCAATTAAGACGTTTGGTGAACATTTCAAATAAAAATAATTTTTTAAGTATTTTATATATTTAGTTATATGGTTTCTTTCTTAAATAAAAATTCCCAACCTTATGAAGTTTTCTGACTTCTTTATTAGAGCGGAATTTCAAGATAATTAATCTTAAAATAATTGAATCAGGTTTGTTAATAGTAGAACAAAAGTACAATAATATTATTAAAAAAAAATAAATAATTAGATGTGTTTTATTGTAGGTGGCTCAAAAGACATAGAAAGACAATATAACGTAGAATTAAGGCTCAGTTAGCTGGTAGGTAACGTAAAAAATTAATTCAATGCGAAATGCACAAACAACCAAACCTGCGTATTTGATAGGAACGAAATAAACAAAGTACATCGTTTTTGTTCATTTCGTTCCGATCAAATACGCAGATCTGGTTAGTTGTGCATTTCGCTTTAAATTAATTTTTTACGTTACCTATCGTCTAACTGATCTTTTAGTTTTGTGCGCTTTTAAGAAATTTGTAAAAGAAGTAAATTTATGAAAGATATTTTAGATAAAGTAATAATAAATAATTGTTTCATTATTTTTAAATACTTGGTATGTTTCCCTAATGATGATTAGGCCGGATCAGTTGATTTTTATAGCACAACTAATGTAGCCTTTATGTCAACGACTGCCAATTCGGTTTTCATCAGTGCTTATTTACATTTACATTTCTCCTTTACATTAGGCCCTTCCACTAAGCTTGACAATTTTGATCGACAGGTTACAACAGTAATTCTTGAAAATATATTTTCAGATTTATTTTGGAAATAATTTGGAGATGAAAATTTTACCCCATGGACCGTGTCATTTGATGTGTTTTAAGTATGGAACTGTTAGTAAAATAGGATACGGCTTAATTATATAAAAAAAAAATTACATAGATTTACTTAGAGCAAATTTTTCATATTTTTATTTAATTTTATTTCTCTTTTTAATTTATAGTTTCATCGTCTGAAAATGTTATTATTATGAAAATATCAATGTAATTATATAAGAAATATATTAACTGTTTTGATTTCATTTATGTAAAATTGAAATTAACATTTTAAATCAATTGTCCTTTATTCTGTTATTAAAGAATTACCAGTTTTTTCAAGAGTTTCGGATTAAAGACTTCTAAAGTGTTGTCGTATTGTTACTTCTTTTTATGAACCTTCTTGGGAACATTTTTTGCAAACTGGGTCATGACATTGCCTGGTGGAGCATAATTACAAACGACATAAGTTTTATTGTCTCTGAAAAGTAAGAACAATAATTTTTCTTTATTAGAAATCTAAAATATGAAAAATAAAATAAAATAATATATAAATAAATAAACGTGAAGAGGTAATGAAATTTTTCTTTTGCTGTTATTCTCAAATATTTAATTTTTATTGAAATCAATAACACTTCCACATGTGATGTGAGTATGACAGTCTGCATAACATAGCGCTTATAAGTGCAAATTTATGATTTTATGGAATGCGTTAAAAGCATCTCAAGCGCATATCAATAGTCACAGTGTAAGACTGTAACTCAATAAGAGAATACATGGACCTATAAAATACATACATATATACTTTAGATCAATTAGGCGAAAGCAGTCCATTTGCAAATCTCAAGAATGTATGAAGAGCTGTAAGAATATGAATAGCTAAATTAATTAAGATTTTCTATGTGTATTTCAAATCATTGTTATAACTTTTCCACCTCTCCACTTGTCTGTTTTATTTTTTGTCAAAGTAAAGCTAACTTTTTTCTATTAACTAAATATGCATAGACATGTACATATATACTTTATTTAAGATAATGCCTCATACCTTTTGGCTATGCCGACGCCTACTTCTTTAGTATCTTTCCAAATAAGTTGCGTAAAGTGACCAGTTTGTGGTGAAAACTTTGGATCACTGAAGTTATATTTTTCAATTTCTTTATACCACATTTTGACGGGATGGTCTCCTTTTATATCCATACCTTCGGCATAATATATATTTTCTCCATATGCGTTGTTGTCTCGATGTTCTAATTTATTCTTACTGGCAAGATTCTAAAAAATATATAACAACAGTTTCTATATAAATTTATAAAAATATTCTAATTTATAATCCATTACATTGGCCCACTCCTCTGCAAATTTGTTGAGCTCAGCAGTTATCTTCAAAGGTGGACATCCATGGTCTGCACGCAATTTATTATGTGCATCTAAAACCTCCTTGTTGAAGTTACTTGCCATATTGCTTTAAACAAATTTGCAGTTCCAGAATTGGTCACACCATACTTGATCAAATATTGTTGGGAACTATGGATTTTGAATTTATTAAATATAAAATTTTCGGCTTAAACAAAAAATTTCTGGTTGAACAAATATTTTTAAAGATTAGTTTGATTTGTAAATAAAAAAGAATATATTTTGATTTAAATTTTATTCTTTACGTCAAATATAGTATAATGTGTACTATTATTATATAATTTTAATTATATTCGCTATTTATATGATAATGGACTGTTGGTTAATTGTTCATGGTTACTACTTTTTATTCAATATGTCTTTATGAGTATGTTTACTACATATATAGCTTAACATATTTGGGAAAAAATCTTAGGCATTGAACTGCATTAAACTAAACTACTCAGACTATATATAAATTCTTAAATGATATTTGGAGGTTCGTTGGAATAATTGCGATCTTAGTACCGTTTTGCTGCTACATTTTGTGCATATTGTCCAAAAACGTTACCAGGTGGATTATAATTTGCTACAACCCATGTTCTACGGCCGCTACAATAAAAGTAAGCCATTCAAATATTATGAATATAGTAACATTCATTGCATACGTACTCTGTTGCGATGCCTACTCCAAGTTCTCTAGAACTTTTCCAAACAACCTGCGTGAAATGTCCAGTGTTCATAGCGAAACCTGGTTTAGAGCTTTTGTAATTTACAAATTCGTTATACCAGGTAGTGACTGCGCATTTGGCATTTAGATTTACGGCAGTGGTGAGGTACAGATTTTCGCCATATTTATTTGCACTACGGTGTTCTAGTATGTTCCTTTTACACAAATGCTAGAAAGAAATATATTTATCAAATTTTGAAATTTTAGCATTGTTTAAGCAGCCCTTACCTCTGCCCATTCTTTGGCATAAGTGCACATGCTTCTGTTTAGTGTTAAACTTGGGGTTCCATGCATAGCTCGAAACTCATTGTGCGCATTTAAGAATTCCTTTTCGAAGGAGGTTACTGAAAGAATAAAAATATAATTAAAATCAATCCTGAAAGATAAAAAGTAATAATTGCTATAGTGAATTTGCTCTTACAGTAACAGATACATTGTAAGAATAAAATTGATATATCATAACAAGCATGGGCGTATAAATGTAGGGGCGCCAAACCAGAAGCATTTATATTGTTAAAAGTCTGGCCAATGCTAATACTGGAGATATTACTGAGCGTGTTAAAGAATATGGCCCCCAAAAACCTCAGTCAAGTTCTGGCCAAGTATGAATATAGACAAAACAGGTGTTGTGGTTTCCTTTCTTTAAGTATTGGTAGACATGCGTTGTAGGAGACATCACAGGATAGACCGAGTCTAGCTCCATATTTTTCTATGATCCAGTGCTCTGTAAAGATAGATATTGACTTAGATACCTCTGATTTGCTTCTGTGTATCAAGTCAGAGTTTCTGTATTTGGAATAGATTAGCCATGTACCCCTTGACTTGACTGCTGAGGTAGTATGGACCAACGCACTAATAGCCTGTCTCAAAAAGTGGTCACAAATCCACCTCCGACTGTAGTTGGCAGGGGCAGGAATTGAAATAGGAGTATCCGAAGAACAGGCGCCCAGTCTATCAAGCTTGTCTGCGTGCTCATTTTCTATTATATTAGAGTGTCCGAGAACCCAAACAATTAGGTTAAACTTTGGTTAAAAATAAAAATTAAACAAAAACAAATTTATTTTTTACTAATTTTAATTTAATTCAATATTTCGACAATAATATACTTTCACACACCTAAGCGCAGTTATCAATGTCAGTTTAGAAATTGAACCTCGAATTATTTACAAGGATCAAAAAAATTAGATCGAATTATTTGCAAGGATGAATTCACAGAATGTTAGACCCTGAGCACAGAAGATCATTTTGCAGTGGTACAACGATAGTGGGTCGTCTTTGACGAGTTCAAATGGAATATTGATAGCCGGTTAGTTAGTATTTGCTACTTGATAATGCTACATTGCAAAAGGCCGATATGGTGCATGACTCCTTAACCAAAGTCTGCGTCATGGCTATCGAACATTCAACGTATTTATTTGATCTGTTCATTTTTGATTCTAGGCTATGCTCTACTCCTTGAAGTCAAATCGGCGATGAAAGAAAATCATTTCAATGCCACACCGGTCATCCTAAAGACTTCTATCGATATAGGCAATTTTATTCAATGAGTATTGATTAATTGATATTCTGCAGCACAATATTGTCACAATATTGTCCCTTAGTCGGATTAGAGTGTCCGAATTTCCAAGTCCGAATTTTTTAATGAAAGACAGTACAGGGCCTATCTTTTCTAGTCTTGAAATCTTATGTACCATGAAATACCCTCCAAGGTGTTTCTTCCGCTAGTACATCAATGTCGGGCATTCCCCTAGCACATGGTATGGGGTTTCCTCCTTAATAATATTGTATTTTTTTACCAGTTGTGCAATAGATAATTATTAGAACAATCAACACGCACATTATATACAGAAAAATGCAAAATTTTGTCAAAATAAGCCACAGGTGTTTTGGGCTTATTAACCATCAACAAAACACTCACACCTATAATTTTCATAATATTACTAATATTTACACAAGATATTATAATTATTGTTATCATTTAATAACCGTTTACAGCATTAAAGTTTATTTTATTTTATTTCCATCAACATTTTTAAGAATGTGATTCATGGGTACAATTAACAGTTGTTTAGTATTGTGGGTGCAGTGTTTGCCGGGTTTGTCGATAAGACACGGTTTCCTACCGAAAGCACAGATTTGTGAATTACAAACGTATTCATATTTTTTTTTTATCTAAATTATTATTTTATACTGAGTATAAATGGAAAATATACAACATTTTTTTAGTTGATTCATTTTTATGATGCAGGTTACTTATATCATAAAATTCATTAGCCAATGGTATTTATTCATCATCTATTCATCATGAAAAATTTTTTATTTTATCGGTAATTGGCACAGCCGAGAAATGGAGCAGCGGGGGTGACACATTTCAAGATATCTTTTTACAAAAGCTGAGGGGTAGACCAAATGAAATAAGCAATGAAGTTGTGCTTAACATCTATTATTATATAATTTACCTAATATATGTAATTATGAAATAGGTCATGTGTTCGAAAATCTGCTGGAACAAGTGAATGACCATGGATCTGCCATCAATATGTCACATTAAAAATAATTCTTGTTAATGTTAATTTTTTTTTGTCAAAAGAGACGCGTCTTATGTCGAAAAAGAAACTATTTAAAATTTAGAAGGGTTCGAATAGAAATGAAACGACAACAACAAAAATTTTAGTTAATTTATTGAAATATGACTGACCATAAAACCAAATACTCATTAACAGTGGTCTTAGGAAATATTCGAATTTTTTTCTATTTTTATTAGCCGCAAAAAATATATCGATTTATTTTGTTATTAAATAAATTCATTAACTATGTTTTCTAAAAGAATAAATAAGTATTTTATATATAGGGGAAGAACTGCATACAAATACATAAAAACTATTGACACGGAACCGAACCGAAAACCGAAAAAAATCGCTATTTTCGCCGGAACGTAAACCGGAACCAAACCGATATATTTTTTTTGTCTTGAACCGAAATGATAACCGGAACGGAAAAAATTCCGGTTCGATGCCCTGATCTTAGAGATATAGATAAGGAAAATAAAAACACAACAGTACATAAGCCAAAGTCATTATTTTTGTAAATCTTATTTACAAATAAATTAAGATTACCAAAGTAATGTTACAAAATTATCAGATGGAGCTATAATATATATTTATGATTCATTTTATGAATATAAGGTAGAAAAAAAATATCACGACACTTTAATATTGCATTATTGAAGCAAAACTGTTGAGTATTGATTTAAATAACATTATTAATAAAAAGATAAATTATAAAGTACATACAAGATAAATCTTTCAGTTCTACAGAATCCAGAACTTACCGTCGTTCATCATGCGTTGCTTTATGAAACTGCTTGAATGCTTGAAGATGTTTATGTTTACTCGCTGTTGTTTACAAAAAAAAAAATAATTATCAGCATATTTTTTTTAAAAACAAAAATTAATGTCACAAAATATCTAATGAAAAAAATGCAAAGTAAATTAAAAACTTCCAAAAGATATAAAAAATTATTTTTATTGCACCACAAGATAGTTTTACAATCGAAAGTCACTTTAAAAATAAATTTTTTTTATATTATACTTTAATATGATTAATTTAATAGAATTTAATATATTGTTTAAACAATTTAGAAATTTATTAAAACTAAAAATTTTTTATAAAATAGTTAAAAACGGCTTTCTCAGAAAGTCGGAAATATATATAGTAGATAGTATTTTTTGTTTATTGAACCTTTTGTGAAGTTACTCGTCAGAAGCTCAACTCTTACTGAAGTAAAATAATACATCATTTAGTCTTTTATATCAAAATTGATAACAAATTCGTATATAAACAAACTCGTACTTATGCGTTTTTTTCTGATTTTCTTTGAACGAGTGTAAAGCTGGACAGCTACGTACAGTGTAACTAGTGCATGCAACGAGTAGTCAAAAATGAGTACTTTTCATTTTTCACACTGCTTTTTAATTGCATAAAAGTATTGTCTTTATCTGATATTTATAGCCCTCTTTATAATATAATAATACCTTATATCTTCAGTTTTTTTGTTTAGTTCTAATTTCTTTCGATTTCAGGCTTGGGTACAGTGGTAAACTGACTACACGTCCTAGCTTGAACCTGAGATTAACTCACGTACAATTGGTACAATAGCTACAGTACCGGCGGTTGGACGATTTCACGTCAATCATTTTAATAAAAAAATAATATAAAAACAAAAAAAATTAACATATATTTATTATCAAGTTACTATACCATATTTCTACTTCACCATGCAAAGAGCATTTGTATAAAAATGTGTTAATTATAAATAAATCAACTGATTTAACAAGATTCAGACTGATTAAAACAAATTGGCATCACTTTTAAAATATGTCAAATTTTTTTTATCATATCTAAGTTTTTTTTGTTGTGTAGAATATGACATATAAAAATTGTACCATAGAAGGGCTATGGTAAACATTTTTATCTTATATATTTAAATTAATTTATTTATTTATGTATTTGAATAGATTAGTAAATGAAACGCTTATATGATTTTAATTGATGACTGGAATTTTACAACATATTTCCAGTTAACATCTCTAATAGACTGATTTGGGAATTTGAATTCGATTCCACTGGAACTTAACACATAAAATTTTTTGCGAGTAAAACCTAACTCTGAAGATTTTAAGAGTATTGTTGTTGCTTAACATATTTTCTTCATAAGTCGTGAGTATTTTTTTGCTACTCGGAAAGAAAAAATCATCGCTAAAATTATTGGTTGTACCAAAAGTATTTGATAGTTTTTAATAAAAAATAAAATATAGTACTCTTTTTTTGACTAATTTCTAACATTTTTCGATAATGTTGCACATAGTCCCATGTGATATATATTAAATCATGTGCTATTATATGTTAATAGCTCGATTTTATGCTGTTTCAAAAAAGTTATGCAGATCGAAATTTAATCCATTACAATTTATTTTACTCAACACGCGATCTTCTTAAATAACTAGTTTGTCTTAGTAAATAGCTTTTAGTAAATTAATTAAAATTGTAATGATGCAGTTTTAGTTATTACATGATTTTCCGACTACTCATAGAAGGGTCTAATTGAATCAACTTCTGGATTTGACTTGAAAAAAATTTTGATTTTCTAATATTATTTTTAACCATTTATCTATTATTAAATAGAAATGTGATATACATTTCCTGACAGACTTCGGCGGATGATCTTTTTAAACATAAATAAGAAAACATTTTTAATTGTGACTGCACTGTGATTGTGAAACTGTGATAATCACGCGATTATCACATTGGATTCTCAATAATCCAATTATTGAGAAAATGATTTTTTTTCATAGTTTTCTGCGGCATTGTTCGTTTTATCGCATTTAATTTTCTTCGAAAGATATAGTTATCGAGTTTGGCGAACATAAAACTGTGATTCAAAATCAAGCAACTTCCAATCATTGAGGAAGTGACGCTAGAAGATAAGTGACTTTTTTTGCAAGCTGGCATAAAAAATCAGTAAAAAATTCTTTACTATAATTCTTAAGATATTCGCAGACCCATGCATTAACCTAATACATGGAAGAGGCAAATTGACCTTCATCGAAAGAGTTGTACTGAAATTAAGCAAATGTTCATCGGTTGTGTGAATTTTAAGTATTAATTATATTGTTTGAAATAACATTTAACATAAATTACCAATTTCAGTAAAATCACTTATAAGATAAGAGAAAATATATCATATATTATCTTATATCTTATAAGATATACGATTTAAGATACTAACCATTTTAAGATAAATCCAATTTAAACTTAGTATATAAGTATATTTTATATACACAAAAAAGTTTTTTATTTATTTATATTTCTTTTTTCTTTTTTTTTTTTAAATTTTAAATAAGTAAAGTAATTTCAGACAAATTATATATACATTTTTAATAGATATTTCATATATTTCTTCACAATGTATAATATAATTAAACAATATATCTTATATTTAGTTTTCTAAAATTTATTAAGGAATTTTCTACAAAAATTCAGAACTCAAATAATAAAACTTAAGCATTTCCTAAAAGAAATTTCCGTTTTAGTCACCTACATTTTTTGCAGTGTTTCCATTGAATCTCAACTTCAAGTTCAGATTGAGAATGAAGCCGCTTATACTCATATGCTTGCATTTTATCTTTGGGGCAATTGAAGAATTCTTCGAAAAATAATATATGCTTTATGTGCTGACTTCTGCAAATTGCCGCAATGTAATTTACAATAAATAAATTAATTGTAAATGCTGTTAAATAAAAATTAAACAAACTTTATTTTTTATAATTAATGTATATTGTCGTTATGAATCAAAGCGTAAAATTTATAAATCAATTATTTTATAAACAATTATTCAATTCTTCAATGCATTTGGTGAAGATTATTATTATTAGAATGGACAGTAGTACACTGCAATCTGTAAGATTTGCTATGCTATACCTGGTGCAATTCAACTAACACAGATATTAAAGATTATTTTTTTTACTAAATTTGATTTTTTTAGAGTAAATAACCATGTTTCTTAATAGAAACTATTATATATATATTATTTATATATATAAATGTATGTGAATGCGAACATAAATGTACATTTGAACCCACCTCATTGAAATAGTCTGGTTATTTCCTCTGAACTCGGGTTGCTGTTGAGTTCAAATACCACCCACCCAATCCACCCCTTATTATCCATTCCACCTATCCTTAACCATTACCCATTCATATTCCCACCTATGTGATCGTCTTGTAAACCCTTTCATGTTATTTGATTACAGGTCCCATCGGGCTACAACAACAACAACAATAAATTTCCTTGTGATTTTTAAAATTGAAGTTTGCACTAGACTTTTGTTATTTTCAAAAAAAGTATGACTCTATTAATATTCCAGAGGAAATTTCACACCACAAAGTTATTCTTTTTTTCAAATACAATAATTTTGTTTATTGATATATCAACTAAGGGAAATATGGTATAAGCCTCCGTATTTACTTTACCTAATCTAACTAAATAAATTCATCAGTTAATTTTGCGACCGATCAGACCATACCTCAATCAGCCTACGACAAATATCTGGGAAAATGGGTTAGGCACAAATATTCTTATATTGCATTCGATGGTTATTAATTCTAAGTTGACAAACTAAATTTTAGGCGATTGATTATATGTTCGAAAACTTTTTACACAAAATCACCTCTAAAGATTTTAGCACTATAACAATACAATTCAAACAAAAAATCTATTCAAAACTAATCAGAGTCTAGGATTTTTTATGTTAATGTACACACATGAAGGACTCCATTGAGCTTATTAAAATAAAATATGAAGCGGTAAACACAATGGGCTTGAATCAGCACACATGAAAGATTCCGACAATTAACCCGAAATGCATTTGGTACGGTACAGATAGAAAAATGAGGTTTATATATAATAAATTCTGAGTAAATAGTATCAAGCGTGCATATGGAAGTACATTTTCCGGTAAGAACATACAAAAATGTTTTTGGAAATTTGATACTCACTTCATTGTTCTGTTGGTATAGTAGAAGCAAAGAAAAAGGATGCAACCACATAGTATGTTCATTCCAAATATGCATACGTATTAAGCCTTTTAAGCTCAGATGCAGTCGGAAATTTCCGGTACATTGTGTCAAACAAACGTAGTTCCTAAAACCAAAAGCCATGACAAAAAAAGGTATTTGAGCATAAGTGAGTAGTGGTGGGTGTGTGTTTATTTTAGACACATGTAAACATAATGAACAATCAGTTGAAAAGTGTATATGCCGTATTCAATTTGTTAAAAGTGATATGAACTTTTGAAAAATTTGGTTTATTTCTAATAAAAGATACTCAAATTCTTTAAATAAAGTACTACATACAGATGTAAATGTCGATTGACGACACCTGTTTAAAGCATCCTGCAAACTGCTTACAGTATAATCAGGATTGTATTAAAAATTTGTTTAAAGAAAAAATTCAAATTTATGAAATAGATTTATATTTATTAATAAAGAATAAATAAATTTAAAATAATTTTTAATTGTTGATATATTTTTATTTTTTGAAGTCAATGTTCATTTTTTATTCGTTAAGACTTCTTGTGGATTGAAATTTTAGCGAATATTTTAATAAGGGATAAAACAGCTAATCTATGACAAACAATGGGATGAAAAACAATATAAAGTTATCAATATCAGTCGACAACATCAAGCTTATTTTTACTTTTATTTAATTATTAATTTTTTAATTAAGTAAATTTTCGAGCTGACCATACAGTTTCAGATACCCATCACTGTTGCCACCTTTTCTATTCTAATACGTTACTTGATATACGACTCTAAATTCTTGAATAAAAATATTATTTTTTAGAATAATTCACAATGTTACAAAGTATTATTTAGTTCTTTATTTTACTATGTGATTCAATTTACATTAATAAGAATTCCTTATAGATCTTGAAATCTGCCTACCTTATTGATGTTTTGATGCAACAGCTGGATTAATGATGGAACCGGCTCCATCAAACACTTAAATCACTCTTTTTTTATGTAACTGATTTATCTGATGTAGAATCAACAACATCACCAGCAGCTAAAGCACGAATGGAGTGATATGGAAGCTCTATATTTTAATTATTGGGCAGATCCTCGGTACTCTACGAATTGATGATGCCTCTTTCATTTGAATAAACCACAAGCAGCATGAGTTTTATAACGACATTGTCATGATTTAGCGAT